TTTAATTAAAATTACGTACTACTTCGTAATAATAATTAAAAGCTTTATTTATAAATACGATATTAATTACTAAATAGTATTAATATTCTTTAATTCTAACTTTTTTATAATAATTATAAAACATCGTTAAGGTTTTTTATAAGACCTTATACTTCCCCTTAAAATATAATTTCTTTTTTAAAAAGATCTTTTTAAAGTTTATAAATTACTTTATATTTATTATTATATTTTTAGTATTTATATACGATCCCTACGTTATTATATATTATTAATAATTTTAAATCGTTTACTTTTTTTTATATTAACTAATTAGTACCGAATTTTATATTAATAATAATAACGAGCTATAGATTAAAATAAGTAAAATCGTTAATTATTATATTTTTAATACTATATTTTACCTCTATATATCCTTTTATAATAATAAATTATTATTAATAATTATAAAGAGGAAATTTACGTTATTTACCCTTTTTTTAAATTTATTAAAATAATTATATACCTTATTAACTTATATTTAGTTCTATAATACGAATTCCTTTTTTATAATCGTTATTATTAAGATTTTATATAGTTTTTATAATTATAATTATATTAATAATACCCCTTATTTATAAAGGAATTTATTAACTATTTTTATAATTCTTAAGCTTATACTTATAAACTATTTATTTAGTTAGTAACTAAGGTTATTTATAATTTTATAAAATAGGGGTTACCCTTATAGCCCCTTTTTTTTATAAACCTTAATTAAATAGATTAATATTACGTTAATTTACTTATTATTAAGTTAATTTATAATTTTATATATTTATATCCCCTAATAATCTAAGTTAATATTTACTTATTTATAAGGGATTAGGATTCTATTTAGGATCGGGTTTTATCCTCTTTTTTTTTTTATTTTAACTTATTAAAAGTTATATTTTAGCTTATACCTATATTAATAATTATTAATATATTTAATTTTAACGGGGATATATTTAATTTACATATTAACTATAATAAATCTATACTTTTATTACTTAACGAATTTATTAAGGTCTAAGAGATTCTTATTTCTTTATACTATTTTATTACTACTCTCGTTTTTATTATTTTTAATAATTATTATTACTTTTTTAAATTACTAATTATTATACTTATTAAAATCCTCTTTTTTATTTAATATAAAAAAATAAGTTTTAATAGTTCCTTTTTTTAATAATAATAATAAACGTTTATATTACTATAAGAAAATATAATAATTAATCTCGAGATCTTTATTAATTACTAATTTCTATTATTTTATATATTTTTAACTTCCTAAGCCTCGTACTCTTTATAATTTTTAAATAGCCTCTTTTTTTAATTTACTTTTTTTAAAATAATATTTTATAAAAATAGTTAAAAATAAACGCTAAGCGGCTTATAAAGGAGCCGGATAGGTTATTAAATATAGTTAGTAAAGTTAAGCCCTCTTTTTTATAAAATTACGGGCTTTAAGGATTTATTAAAAATACTACTTATTACTTATATTTAGTAAAGCTAAATATTTTAAAAATCTTTTTTTATAGCTTTTCGGTACCCTATTTTATATTTTTTAAATAGTCTTTTTCGTAACTTAATTATAATTAAGTAATTATTATTTATTAATAATCTTTTTTATTACTTAGTTAATTTTTTAAACTTAATAATTATATACTAAGAATTAATATAAAAAAAAGCTCTTTAGTAGCCCTTTAAAAAAAATTTCTTTTTTTTTTAGAACTATGTTTTTTTAGCCTTTTTTTAAATTAATAATAATTATAATAAAAAGTTATAAAACTACTTTTAAATAGCCGCTTTTTTTTAAAATTAATTTTTAAAATCTATAACATTCTTAATTTAATATTATTAGGATTTTTAAATCCCCTTTTCTCTTATTAAACCGTCCCTTATATTATATTTTTAAATAATATTTAGAGAGTAGTTAAGGGGGCTATAAAGAGGTTATTTAAATTATAAGTTTTAAAATTATATTTATAAAATCCTTATAATATTAAAACTTTTTATATATTATAAATCCTTTAGTTTTATAACTCTTATATAAGTTCTTATTATACTTATTAAAAATATTTATATTTAAAAATCCCTTTTTTTAATTATATAATATTTTTATATATCGTATTATTAAGCTCGTCCGTTATACTAATTATTTAAATAAATAGTTATTATATAAATATTTTTTTTTACTAATTTAACTAGTTAATTTCTAATTATAGGCCGGTTATAAAACAGTTATTTAATAAAAAAGTTACTTAAAATAATAATAAAAAGCTAGTTACTTAAGTAGTTTTATTAATTAATATAGTTTAATATAATAAACGTTAACTTTTTATAAATAATAAAGGGCTACGATTACTTAATTCCGTACGGTATTTAAAAATTACCTTTTTTTCTATTTACTTTTATAAAGTTAATTAATATAAATCTCTTATTTTATATAGTATTAAAAAGTCGTTTTTTTTATATAATAAGATACTTTATTAATTTATAATAATAAAATTTAATTATTAATTAGTATTAATATCCTTATTATAAAGTAATTAGTTCGAACCGTAGTTAATAAAGAAATTAATTAAATTATATAAATATTTATATAATAAGTATAAAAAGGAGGTTTTAATTATAGGTTAGGCTAGTTATAATAATTAGAAATAGGGCCCTTAATTAGCCCCTATGTAGTCGGCTATATACCGCGGTCGAATTAGACTTCTAATCCGATAGTAATATTAACTAACTAATTAGGTAGTTATAACCCCGTTGGGAGCGCCTCTGAAACCTGAATAGGGAAATTTTCAAGAAAGAACAGCGAGGCTTATTCCTGTAAATACTTGGACGCCTGATCGTCTCGTGTCTGTCTGGTGGCACTAGGGTTCCACGATGACTATAGGGGCTGAAATCATTGAACGTGCATCACGTAACCCACCGTCGCGTAGCCTAGATCACCGCCTCGGTGCTAATCACAGTGAAGACCCAATATGGGCCATGATTAACCAATTGCCAGGATCAAAGTTGATCGACAAGATCCTGGCTAGCGCGGCGAAAGTCTCGAGCCATCTTGATGGAGTAGCGTGGCGGAGATAGCTTCATCTATTCCCGCTTAGTCATGTATTATGTGTTCCAAAGCCAATGACTGAGACCTGCGAGCAAATGGACATAACAACTATGTCCGGCTTTAAACGGCTAGACACGAAAATGGTCTCAAGTTGGGGATGTTGCATATATCACAAAGCACTCGCACGACTTTGCTATAGTCCAATGACCAATTACCCATACTATGACAGCCGATCACACTTGACGCCTTCGTCGTAGTTCACTTTCCTTCATCCTCACCTCGCCCCTATCCACCATGATGAAAGGTGAACGGGATGTTGAAGAGGCGGCCTCTGCGACCAACCACAAGGCGTTTCTTTCTTACCTATACGATGCTGCTGGCGTTACCCAAGAAGTGTTAGATTGGTCTTACCAGGGTCATGGCACCCAAAGCGACCCTTTTGTTGTCGAATTCCTGGTAGCGGATTCTGCCAACCCATTACAGTTGCCAAGCTGGAGGAAATGGTCTATCACATTCCTCCAAGCGTTTGCAGTTCTAGCTGTAAGCTTTGCATCTAGTTCATTTTCTAGCGGCATACCATACATCGTCGATGAGTTCAACGTTAGCCGCATGGTGGCTCTACTCGGAGTGTCCTTGTTCGTTATAGGCTTTGCTTTGGGGTGAAGTATTGCCAGCTGCATACCATTGAATTCAAATGACTAACCAGCCTCATATTGTTGCAGACCACTTGTGTTCGCACCCCTCTCGGAAATGTTCGGCAGACAACTCATATTCGTTATTACCTTTGGTGCGCTGACGGCGTTCAATGCTGCCGCCGCTGGATCGAAGAACATTGAAACTCTGCTCATTTTGCGCTTCCTAGCTGGGACGATTGGGTCGGCGCTTCTGACAAATGCCGGCGGAGTGATTGCTGATATGTTCTCGGCGGACGAACGAGGCTTGGCCAATGCTCTCTTCGCAACGGTGCGTCTAGATAACCCCTCTATGACCCGCTTGACTGGCCTGCTCGATTATGTGCTTTGTTCATTGTGCTTGCTTTTATTTTCACCTGCTGACGCCAATGTGAGCCAGGCCCCTTTTCTTGGACCGGCTGTAGGCCCAATCGCAGGTGGCTTCCTGAGCCAGGCCAAGGGCTGGCGATGGCTTCAAGGCCTGATGGCCATCTTCACTGGTGTTCTTTGGGTCCTCGGTTCACTTTGGGTTCCTGAGACTTACACCGTCGTAATCCTGCGTCTCAGGGCAGAAGTTCTGTCAAAAATTACCGGCCATGTTTACGTCTCTAAATTCGATGTTGGTCACCCCAACAAAGCGTTGCTCGCAGAGCTCAGAAAGGCTCTGCTACGACCATGGCAACTCTTGTTTTTGGAGCCTATCGTTCTGCTCTGTTCTATCTTCCAAGCTGTTGTTTTTGGGACCTTATACATGATGTTCGCCGCTTTCCCGATTGTTTTCCAGCAAACCCGTGGTTGGTTCAACGGCGTTGGTGGTCTTGCATTTCTAGGTGTCGCCGTAGGCATGATGTTTGCTGTTGGGTACAGCGGCTACGACAATATTCGTTACATCAAGGTCAACAAAAGCTATGATGGCGGTGCACCTCCGGAAATGAGACTACCCCCTGCTCTGATTGGATCAGTTCTCCTACCTATCGGCCTGTTATGGTTCGCCTGGACGAACGGACCAAACATTCACTGGATCGTTCCCATTGTCGGATTGGGCTTTTTCGCGGCTGGTCTTGTCCTGGTTTTTTTAAGCCTGATGAACTACCTGGTCGACTCTTGTGAGTATTCGGACTTTGTGTACATTTTCTCACGAAATGGAGACGTCTAACGTTGTAGATGTCATATACGCTGCCTCCGTTCTCGCCGCGAGCTCCGTCTTGCGAAGTCTTTTTGCCACAGCGTTCCCTCTTTTCACCACCAATATGTACCATAGCCTTGGCATCCATTGGGCAAGTTCTGTTCCGGCTTTTCTCTACCTTGCCTGCGTTCCGTTTCCGTTTCTGTTCTTCAGGTACGGAAAGTCGATTCGGTTGCGATGCAAGTATGCAGCTCAAGTTGCCTGATGTTGTGTCCCTTGAGGGTTGAGACAAAACAACTCGACTTCGAGGTCTAAGTTGAATTAATTGAGGGCAAAACCGCAAAGTTGACCAAGTTCATCGTAACTTGGGTAGCAGGAAATAATCAAGCGTGGGGCGACCTCTTTTCACTCAAAAAGGGAGACCTCTCCGAATGGTATATGTAAATATTCTACAATCAGTCTAGACAACTTGTACAATTGAGCTTAGCCTAGAATTTGAGTTGGTCAAGAGCGGGTTTCTGCACGTTGACTGAAATGGTGACGAAGTTGATTATTGAGGTTGTACCTAGTGAGTGAAGCGTTGAGGAGGCTGATGATTGAGTCGATAAGCTGTGACTTTCGACTTTGTCGTTTGCATTTTATCAACGCCCTTTAATTCAAGACGCATATCGCCAGACTCACCTTACTAAACCATGCCTAAGCTAGAATTCAGCTGAGACTTAGCCTACCGCCACATTCACCAGCTGAATGAGCTTGGGATTGGCTGCGCCATCATCAAGATTCCAACCGGACTGGCTTGGAAACAGAACATAATTACCAGCGCGGTAATGCCTTATTAGTATTAGCTTCTTCTCACATCGCAAAATGCGAATCTCATGAGAGTCAGATCAGTGATGTCGCGCAAACCTCGTCATGCACTTGAACGAATCACAGCCCCCCAGTCCGCTGGAATAGAGTCGCAAGAGCACCACTAGCCAGCTATGCCATTCCACAAGCTCCGACGCCGTTGCTGCGAAAGATATAGATCAATTATAGTTCTCTATCGTCGAACATGTTACAAGGGCTGAGGCATGCTGCGCCATCTTGCGGTATAGCGAGATGTACCGACTAAACTAGGCAAGCGCTGCAAAGCCAACCCTTAGACCTGTTCTTAGAACGATAGCTGCAATATACTGATGAGGGATATTAGACATTGACTTGAAGGCATATGCAGGCGTATTTCTGACTTTTGCCTAGCCCATAAGTATCGCCCATTTCTAAATAGTAATAGATGTCTAAAAGAGTGAGAAAGTTAAACTAACAATACAACCCCAGTGTATAAGCATTGCTTATCCCTGTGAATACTATGAAGGATAAGGCCCGGAAGCTAGCACAATGATATAGACTGCGCTAGTAAGTAGCGCCGATACGATAATTGGAGCGCAGAAGCTAACTAGTTGGCATAGGTCCAGGACGTAAGTGATGCTCCCCTACGAGAAAATGATCGACACAGACGGTGCAGAAGCTAACATGATGGGGTAGAAGAAGCCGGTAAGTTTGGTGTTGTCCGCAGATAGTACGGACACTAACAGTGTTATTATAGCCTCGAGTAAGTATCGTGTCAAGTCTCGCTACTGAAATGTCTTATTGTACCTTGATCCGAGACTTCTCCTTTATTCCCTACGTAGTAGGTTGTTTTTGTAAATGTCTACGTACAGAGTTGTGCACCATTATTTCCCAGGGAAGGCGGGGCTTCCGGTGAAGGGAGGTATTCTCGCTGGGTTCTGAACCTTTCTGCCTCTTTCTCTAATTATTGTGTCTTTGTCGCTCTGTCGTTTTGGGAATGCGACTCCGCCGGTAAACGGCGGGACTTTGGCTGCGTTCTTGACGCGACTAACACTCTCAACCCCACTAGACATAGAATTAGCACAAATATAATTACTCTACCTTGAGCTTTCGCCAGACTTACATTGACTCAACGGGAAGTGCGCTAGCCTCGAAAAGAGATACAGCGATCACAAGTGTAGAGAAAAACTTCATGATTACTATCGTTTAGCTGCGACGTAAGTAGTTTGTTTTGGGTAAAGACAACTCTTTCTCAGCCGTTAGCGAAGTTCGTGAGACTTTATAGTATACTTAAACATTAGATCGGCCTCGGTATTTTACATAAACCCCTCAAAGGCCGTGTTGCTGGTGCACATAAGGTTCAAGGCGACGTTTCTGTGTGTTTGGGAAACACGACTCGCGCTCCAATCTCGTTTCTAGTCGCCTGGAACGGCGGTTTTTCGCCGAGTGATCTCGAAATAAAGACGCCGGATAAACTTTAAGGCCTGATTCAGAAAGCACGCCAAGCCCAAAAATAGGTCTTGCAAACCATCCGAACTTTTGAGTGACCTCTGGAGATCATTGTAGGCCTGGTATATCATTCCGGGCTGGTGCACGTGATACAAGTACGACGAATCTTGGGGTTTTGATCCATCATGTCTTGGATGTCACCTCGAATGTCCGTTCAACACAGGGTTTGAACCTGGTCCGATTCTCTGGGAAACATCTATAGAAGACAGACGCGATGATCGATCAATACTATTACCTCCATCACTTGGCACACTTGAATTGTAAATCATTAGTTGATCCTCAAGAACACGCCTTGTCATCCATAGTTCAATCGGATTGCATCGATGCTGTATCTACCACTACTTTTTGCCTGACATGCCATCTAAGCAAGTGACTTTGCTCGTTCTAGAAGCTCAATATAAGACATCAACCGCCTAGGCAGCTTCAGCGGCGGCAACTCCAGCACCCGTGGACAAGTTGGCTTTCTTGCCAGTTTCTTTGCCGTTACCTCCGTTCTTCTTCTTGCCGTCGTCAACCGCTGTACCGTTGTTCTTGTTTCCAGCCTGGTTTCCCTTGCCGTTATCCTTGCCCTTATTCTTATCGGCATTCGCGTTTCCATTGTTCTTCTTGCCATCCTTATCGTTGTTATTTTTGTTGGTGCCGGCATTGGCGCCGGCGTTGGCAGTTCCATTCGCCTTGCCATTGTTGTCCTTCTTGCCGTCGTTATTGTCCTTGCCGTTGTTCTTCTTCCCATCGTTGTTCTTCCCCTTTCCGTTGTCTGCGGCCGTACCATTGTTTTTGTTTCCACCAGCACCATTATTCTTCTTGCCGTTGTTCTTGTCGGCATTGTTATTTTTCTTTCCGGTGTTCTTGCATCTGCATGCTTTGCCCTTTGCGTCTTTGCCCCTCTTCTTTCCCTTGGCGCATCCTTGACAATTGTTGTTGTTCTTCTTCTTGCCGTCGTTGTTGTTCTTCCCGTCGTTTTTCTTGCCGCCTCCTGCTATTTGGTTAGCCTGATGATAATAAATGGTGCACTGTAAATTTCCTACCGGCGGTATTGTTGGCCTGACGTGCTATGAGCTCGCCAAAAGTGGCAGCCTCCTCAATGTCACGGGTGGTGAGATCATTCTCATCATCCTCCTCTGCTCTATCTTCAATCGCAAATGGATGTAAAGTTGAATCTTGTTCGTCTCTATCAACAAGAGTAGGGCTTCCCGTGATGGCCTCAAGGTCTCGGGCAACCTCGTCGCGGGTAGCGATGAGACCCGCGTCTGTAATAGCTGCGGCGGCGATGCCAGCCAGGAAGAGAATTGAGATAGGCTTCATTGTCGTTGGAGTGAATGTGAGAGCCTTGGAGACTGGGTGAAGTGGGAATACGAGATGTCAAATATCTAGAAAGACGAAAGCTGAAGTGAAAAGAAAGGAAAGCGTCCGGCGCAATGAAGCAATCTGGCAGCTGATGGTGTGATGATGGTTTCAAGGCCCAAAAGATTCATGGGAATATCCTGAGCTTTATAGAATCCATCGGTATAGAGTCGATGGACAGATATGAGCATCGCAATCAGCCACATATCGAGGTGTGCTGGCCTGACGCCCCCCACACCCCCGGTCTGTCAACTCAATCACCTACACATCGTGCCGGCGGAACCGAAGGCTGTCAAAATAATCAAGATGATGTCTACAGGTCCGTGGGAAAATGGTGTGCATGCTACACAGCCATCGCGGATTTGTGTTCGTCTGGTGTCATGTAAGTGCTGCCATCCCTTCGCCTGGAAAGTCTGTACGGACAATCCAAGTTCGGATTCGGCTGTAAGCGGAATTTTCTGCAACACTTTAGACGAAGCCCTTGCTTGGAGAACCAGTACGTATTGAGCAATATGGTTAGGTTGTATGATCAGCAAACCAAGCATTTGTTATTCTGCTTGGGCCGCCGGCGGGTTTGTGCCGGTTCATTTAGCACCGCCTCCATTGCTTCAAATTTCCATGGAAAACTGGGAGTGATGCGAAGCTCGTGTCGCAGATCACTGTCGCCGTGGGGAAAGCATCTGCGGAGGCCGAGGCCAGCGATTGAAGTATTGAAGGTGAAGGGAATAGGCGGCCTGGGCTAACTGACTTGGTCAGTTGGCTCGTGCCGAACAGCTCTGACACCATACTACAGGAGCTAGTGAGTGAGGATATGCTGTCTCGTGTGGGCTTCCCCTTTGGGCTTTCTGAAACAGCGCTTTTTCCAGGCCATCGGCAAGCGATCCTTTCAGTCTCATTTTTGAGATGGATTAGAGTTAAAATGTTGAGTTGAATAGTTCACTGTTCATGAAATATCCATCAACTGGTCGGGCTTTGACTTAGGTACTGAAAAATTCAGACTAAGATGTGTTGCGCGTCCCTGCTTGCTTGGACGCCCGATCCGGGCGTTCGGCCAGATCATCATCCCAGCTTCTTTCACAGTTCTCTCTCACGGCGTCTGGAGTAATTGATTTCGATGTTGCAGGCTGTCCGATTATCCGCGAACTCTTTACCTGACGGGCTAGGAGCTTTTTTGCCGCGGAAACTAGTTGCCGTGTCTTTGTTAGCGACAAGCTAGGATTTAAGTTGTCTCAAGTAAAATGAGTGTTGAGCAGGTTTTACCGGGTGGGTTGAGCCTCTTCTATGAGCCTTGGTCTTCCAGCCAGGTGTATCCTTGCTCGAAATCTATCCCACGACCATGGAACTATCATGATGCTCTGCCGTGATCCGAGCTGCCCGCAAGTTAAGGAAAGCATCAGAGAATGTGCCCATTGTGATGAGATGAGTTCTGTTAGATCGAATGGCAGGCTGCATCTTTCTCCGCATGTGCAGAAACAGTCAGAGGAGGTGGATGAGCTCAACCGTGCGGTATTAGTCAACACTTGAGTCAGTCAGTAAGGATGACATGATCGTTGACGCTTCAACTTCATTGAGGCTGGAAAGTCACCGGTCCGTGTTTAAAAATTCTCACGTGGCAACGATCTTCTCAATCTTCCGCGGGATCCCATGATCTGTCCCGACGGGATAGGGTACTTAGGTCTTCATCGATGCTCGGAGCTCCGAGAGTACTCATACGTGACGGCCAAGAAATCTTTCAGTGGCTCTGCATCTCGCTTTAAGAGGCAGTAGCCATTCAGATCGCCACATGATGGACGGTCTTGAGAAGAGAGCCTGCTGAGTAGAAAGAAAAGCAAGGCCGACTCTTCTTATTACCCCCAGCAAGACCAGGCATTGGAATATTCTTACTGTCAAGAACCGTTTTCTGTCTACTTTGACCCTAGAAGAACATGATAATGATTTCGAATCTTCAATGAAGCCATAATTACGACGAGCCTCTACCTCTAAGAAATGCGAATTGCCGCACTATTGTGGTAGTGAATATCGAGGATGGATTTACTTATTGTGAATTCGTTGCATATTTACTTGTGTTTCGCTTCAAGTAGTCAACCAAGAGAAATCAAGCAATGTCCCTGCGGATGGGCGTTGCAAAGGATCGTAACGGAAAAGGGCCCTCAGAAATGACACGATCTGCTCTTCTTCCTCATCGCTCATATTGGATGCCTTATGGACCTTTACTAGCTTTTCGAGTGATTTGTGGACTTGTGGCGGAACGCGCTTACCTAACTCGAGACCCGACCCATCCACATCTTCGACTCCATCAGAGCTACCATCAATTGAACGACAATCAGAACTGCTTTCTTCAGTGAACCCATCTATGATATCCGTTGGGACCGAGTCGAGTCTTTCTCCGCTAGAACCATAGTATTTTGCTGCATTGGACCATTTCACCACAAGAGTCTGTGGGAGAGGTCCAATGATGTCGGTCATCTGTATCAAATGTTCGTCTTTTTTCTCGCTATCGCTAAGGCCGAAAGGAGGAAGTTGAAACAGTGCGGCGCCTGTGACAAGCTCGTAAACGATACAACCAAAACTCCAGATGTCAATGCCTGTCCCGATAGCTTCGTTGAGGATCGCTTCTGGTGCTCGAAGGGAGACTGGAGTCAGAACAGACAGCGGCGGATCATCAATGCAGAAAGCTGGACCCACGTTAACTTCAAGAATTATAGAGACTCAGATGTGCCTACCTCCACCAAGATCTGATAGCTTTGTCACTTGATATTGCCCCTCAAGCATGTAATCTGACAGGGGATCCGATACGGCCAGATATTTAGGCGCCCACCTGTCGAGCTTGCCATCAATACGCCGCAACATGTCTATCTTTGAGGCGTCATTTTCATCTTGCTTGAGCACTTGACGATCCAAAAGATGAAAATCTTGTAAAGCGAACAGGATGTTGCCTGATTGAAGGTCGCCGTGCACAATTCCATTGCTGTGAAGGAAGTTGAGGCCAGAAAGCACATGCCGCAAAATGCGTTTTGTTTTGTCACTCTTAAAGCGTCGTACAGGAGGGTTTCGGGGATCATATATCTCGACCGGCGCGTTAAGAACCGATGACAGGCTGGGACCCATAGGTTCAAGTACGAGGCAAAGGTGATGACCGTTGGGGCCATCCTGATAGAAGTAGTCCAAAAGGCCCACGACAAACCTCGAGCTTTGATCATTTGATACCTTATTGGCCAGAACGCGATATATCTTTACCTCAGTTGGATCCTTTCGCTTGGCTACTTCGATCTTCAGAGCAACGTAGCGGTCACGGCTGGATAGGATATCAACATCGCTGTGAAAATAGAAACATTGGAGATATGGATACAGTTGAAGACTTACGACGAATCGAATGCCAGCCAGACCGTGCCGCAGGAACCGTTCCCAAGCTTACGAAGAATCTCGTAACGGCCTTTGAAGACGTCGCCAAAGTGGACCGGATGAAATCCTCCTGGACGATAAGACTCGGCCCACTCGCATGGTGTACCGCTTTGAAGAAATCTGAAGTTCCTCTCAGAGTTTGGGTCCTTCGGAGAAGGCGTTGTTGCTGGCGAAGACATCGCGAAATTACAGATGGCCTGAGAGATGTGGCAGAGAACATGCAATAAGATCATGCAGAAGTTTGGAGTGTTTGGAGTGTCGATTTGGACAAATTGTTCAATAAGCCTCCTAGTCTAAAGGAGAGTTGGCGAGCTGCTTTTAGGAAAAGGCGAAATGCGGATCAACCTGAGAGGTCCGGTTTTTAATGACTGACTGGGTGCTCAATTGGCCTCAATTCCGCCCCACCATTGGCTAGAGTTTCAATGATTTATCTGTTGTAACGATGAGTCCAACTCCAAAGGATGCGGCAAATTAGAGAACACCGAATCCTCGATCATCATTTAATACACAAGGGGAACAACCTCATCTTTCATCGTCGGTACTCCTCTAAGTTTCTCTCCAGAAGTTGTTAGGGAGACGCGGCTTCCATTGGTGACGAGTTCGGGAATGGTGAGGATACTAGCCACCTTTATTAGGAGGATACAACTCAACGCGATCTTTTTCGTCTCAGAGGTAGATTGTCAAACCGCCTCTGCGGACTATACGAGCATCTGGTTTGAAGTATTGTGCTGCAACTTCCTCAATAGATCGTATTTCAAACCGCTGAATCGAATAATCGAGTTTGATCCCGCCCCTCCCCACAATCTGATAGCCTGGCATGCTGCTCTTGTAGCGCAGTAGTAATTCGAGGGCAACCAGCATCCAATCCCAGTTTCCAGACTTTCAATTAGATGCACACTCTTTCAGGAAGGTGTGTTGGAGTCATTGTCCTTCGGCTCCAGGGATCAAAATTTGCGGACACATGTTGTACCCGGTTCCGTTGCAATCAAGCAGACGAAGTGTCTTGGCCGCCTTATTTTGTTCCTAAATTCCTGGCGAGGGAATTACCCCTCATCACCTCACCTACCACGCCATGCAGGGTCTTTGCCCAATATTGCATGCTTGGCACCGCTCGGGAATAACTCTATACGACAAGACAGGCATGTCAGAACGAATCAAGGCAGGGCCCTGCGCGTTACCATATTTGAAGGCTCGGCTTTTGGCTGGGGATCTTCTAAGGTGAATATTGTGTAAGACTTTAGTCAGTTCAGCGGCCTGCCAGCTAGAGTTAACTTCCGATGAATGACGATCAGCCCTCTGCTCCTGATTTTACCCGCAAACCTTCCATCTCGTAACGGATTTCCTGTCAATAATAGACGACCGACTTCGGATCTTCGACAAGGATCCCGATTAGGCTTCGTTCCGAACCTTCCACCTTTACTTCAGCAAACAGGCCGGGACCTGCATGAGATGCCGGAGCAAAATCCTCATTGGAACGCACAGTGGTAGTGTAATGCCTCTACATTCAGTCCGTGATGGTCTTTACTCCTGCGTGATGGCCGGGGTAGAAAGTCATTACCACCATTATGCTCGGCGCGATACCCGAGCTGGAAAAGTCTCGCCTTCTACTACGCCAGTTCCGTGATTCGTTTCAAAGACTTCAATTGGCGAAGATGTGCCAAGATCCGACCACGGATGTCACCTCGGTAGAAACAAGGTGACCACCGACTATCACCGAGCAGGAAGCTAGCATCTAATCTAATCTTTTCCGTCTTGCTTGATCCACTCGAATGCAACTGAGTACAACCAAATCCCTGCATTCCACTTGATCCAGTTGACAAGATACTCCGCGCCAGGCGGGACGAGGAGCATTGGGAATTTTGGTAACATCCCCTACCTGAGTTTCTACGCCGTTGGCTTCCGTAGTATATAAGGTGACAAGAGCCTGCATCGTTGGTCATTCATGTTGCACTATCCCACCGGCTAAGGCTCAATGCTGCCTTGTCCCTCTCGTCAATCAAGACCTGCCCTGAGTCCTGAGTAATCGTTGTCAGACGTTACTTTTCATCATGGGAGTCAAGTCTCTCTTGGCTTTGGCCTCCTTCATCTTCTGTGGAGAAGTCCTAGGTCAGACGTCTCCAGATGACCCTGAAGCAATTCTTGGGCCCATTTCTCCAATCTCCATCGAAAGCGGCCGATACATCGTCAAGTTCTCATCCTCCGGCTCAGCTAAATTCAGAAAGCGTGACGGAGATCTTGTATGACTATCTCAGTCCCTGATTTTGTTTTACGAAAGACATTAATTTCTCTGACACAACTACAGGACACTGCCGGCTTCTTTACCACCCTCCAGAATGCCGGCAAAGATGCTTCCCCAGCAGTGAGCTTCAACTCGCAGCTGTTTCACGGAGCTTCCTTTGACTTGGGGAATGATACCTCTGAAACTGTAGCCGATATTCAAGCTCTGCCGGAAGTTGAGAAGATATGGTCTGCTGCACTTTTCTCACTTCCCATCACGACTGAAGCGGTTGTACAGACAGAGTTCCCCACTTGGAGCCCTCACAATGACACCAACGTCGCTCTTGCACATGCCAACGGCCATTTTGGCGAAGGGGTGACCGTCGCTATTGTTGACTCCGGCATCGATTACAATCATCCCGCTCTCGGTGGCGGCTTCGGCTCTGGGTTCAAGGTTGAGAGTGGCTACGATTTTGTTGGCGACAACTACGAACCTGGAGACATCTACCTCCCAGACGAGGACCCGATTGACTGCAATGGCCATGGCACACACGTTGCTGGCATCATCGCTAGCAGTAACGAGTTTGTGCCTGGTGTTGCACCCTCGGCTCGTCTTCGTGCCTACAAAGTATTTGGGTGCGGAGGTAGCACCTACGAGGATGTAATTGTTGCGGGCTTCCTCCGAGCTCACGAGGAGGGCGCAGACATAGTCAGCGCCTCGCTTGGTTCTAACAGAGGATTTGTTGACACCCCTCTTGCGGTGGTGGCAACCGCCATTCAAGCTGCCGGCACTTTTGTCTCTATCGCCGCCGGAAACGCTGGTGAAAGTAGTGAGTTCTCCTCAATCCAGGAAAAATCATTTCTGACTGATTGGCGTCAATAGATGGCCCTTGGTATACTAGCAGCGGCGGCAATGGCATTGGTAGCACTGGCGTCGGGAGTGTAGAGCATGATGAGCTCGTTGCATGGACGGCAACCGCGCGTTCCAGTAGTGGCGAAACTCGTGATTTTGTTCGTATTTGATACCCTAGCAACTGCAGTGGTTGTATCTTCCCGATTGGCTCGCAGCTCATACATGTTTTCAGATCTACCTTGCAGACAACGGGGTCCAGTGGTCTCTTAACGGAACGGCCCCAGCTTCATGGGCCCCCAATCCTCGGGACCACGCTGATCAGTGTGGTATCGACTTCACTATTCCTGACACCAATGTTTTGGTCCTGCCGTAAGTTCAAATGACTGCCAGTTTCCCTGAGTCTTTCTAACACAGGATTCCAGCCGGGCGGACTGTGGATGGCAAAGAACCGATAGTGGCTTAATGGAAAAGGTGGACTGGGTTCTGATTTACAACTATAACGGCTCCGATTGGGAGATCCCTGGCCGTGTTCGATACGATGCTGAGCGGCAAGCCAAAGGGTGTAAGTTAGATATCTCTCGCGTCATGCACAGGAATGAGTCTGACCACTACTACCAGACAGCTTGATCAACTACGAGGACGGAGACTGGCTCGTCAGCCAACATGAAAGGAACTACACCGTGACCTTTGAGTTTGTCAACGACAACAAACCTGCTGCGATTGATCGTCCTTCCTTCGCAGGAGGTAGGATCGACCAGTTCACATCTTGGGGGCCAACCCTAGATGCGCGCATGGTTCCCCAAATTTCCGCACCAGGTAGGTTTCCCAATCGATCTAAGAGATTATGCGATTGACACTTTAGAGGCGGCTCGATATTCTCGACTTTCCCGATAGGCTCAGGCAGTTGGGCAACACTTTCAGGTACCAGCATGGCTACTCCTTACGTGAGTGTTGTATCGAGAGTACCGATGCGAGCTGGATGTTTGACTGATACCCATTAGATATCCGGCGTTGCTGCCTTGTTCTTCTCATCGCGAGGTGGACGCGCTGCCCTCGGGGATGGCGGTGCCAAGTTGGCTCATGAAGTCATCGTTTCAAGCGGCAAGCCCATTCGTCATTACGACGGCACTGATAGCCTCGCGTAAGTGGTTCCTTCCTGTCTCGTCTTTTTCTTGGGAGACAAACGCTGATACAAGTTCTATGCTCTTAGCTCTGTGATTCATCAGGGAGCAGGTTTGGTTGATGCCTTCAAAGTTGTGGGCTACTCGACCCTCGTGAGCCCAGCGGTGCTCAACCTCAACGACACAGAGCATTTCCAGGGTACTCAAAGTGTGCAGATCACCAACTCTGGGGATGAGTCTGTGACATACCAGTTCTCACATGAAGCCGGCATTACTGCCCTCACTAAGAGTGCCGGAACTGCCTGGGTATCCGTTTCACCTCCATACGTCTCCGGGGATGGGAATACTGCCACAGTCGAGATTTCCCCCGCCGATCTGACCTTGAGTCCCGGTGAAAGTGGATTTGTCTCTATCACTTTCACTGAGCCGTCTTCACCTGATGCTGCCACTCTTCCAGTCTACGGAGGGTCAATCGTGGTCGCTGGGTCTCAGGGAGAAGCAGTACGAGTGTCGTACATGGGTGAGTCGGGTATATTCCAGAATCCACATCCGTTTTAGCTAACCAGGCTCCAGGAATCAAGGGCTCTCTGTATTCCAGTGATATTTGGGAAATGGAACGAGGCGTTCCCCTACTACTCAGTGGATATGGCGGTCTCATGGAGGAGGGCCACAACTACACATTTGAGGAGGGTGGCGATGTCCCGCAGCCGTACTTCAATGTTCTTTGGTCAACTCAAGAAATCAGCTTCGATGTAAGACCGGTCACTTCACTTATTGGTACGAAGCTCTAACACTGCACCACTAGTATGTCGCTCGCGACTGGAACGAGACAGACTGGGCCTACCCAGCAGTCCCTGGGCAGGCCAAATACTTAGGTTCCTTTATCACAGTTCCCCAGGGGCTTTCGGACTCTATCACCTCTTTTCCTCTAAGGAACTACCCGCGGAACGGTGGCGGTGTCTATGCCCCTCCACAGAATGTTTTCGCTCATGGGGGTGATATCCCAGCTGGCGAGTACCGCATTCTCTGCCGCGCACTCCGTACCTTCGGTGATCCCAGCAACCTCAATGACTGGCAGTACAAAGTCTCACCCTGGTTCCGCATCACTAGGGAGAAGCCTCCGGTAACTGCAACCCCCACGACGGCGGAGGCTACCCCAGCCCCAACGACCTCTTCCGTCAGCTTGCCGGAGCCATGCGCCGCAACTTCGACACCAGTCAGCATCGAAGCAACCCTTGCTTCGGGCGAAGGTCCTTACAACCTATACCTCTACGCTGACTTTGCATCGATTGACCTGAGCGGATCTCAAACCCCGTTGAACTTCTCCATTACCAACGGCACTCAGGTTGAGACCTGGTTCAACTCCTCTTGGAGGTTCCTCTCTGTGCATACCAACACCAACAGCTTAATCTACGTGTACGCGTCGAGCCGTGTGACTGGCGCCTTTTCTTTCCTCGGATGCACAGTAACAGATGGTGTTTTGGGGTGCGAATCTAACGGCAAGTCTGCGCTTTACGTTTGCGATAGCACGACTGGACTTTTGCGTCACGGAACTCAGCCTCTGGATGGGTGCCAGACTGTCACGCTCAAAGTCGGGCCAAGAGAGAATCCGAACTGCGCAGCTACAACGACTTCTATCACTGCTACGGAAATAACAGTGGCGCCTACTACTTTTTCGACTGCAATTGTCTCGGTCTCGTCGTCTTAGCTTGAATCTGCTGGAACTTTCGGATGTGATCCTGGGTAGTTGCTAACCAGAGTGGTACCGCCGATCTAGTAAATACTGTCATTTGACTCCGTATATAGTATTTTACCTTATCTGATGTAGCTACAAACGCTGTCGGCACATTAAATCCGATGCACAAATTTCCGTCAAAACCTAGATGTTGCCTTGAGTGCGCCAGCGAGATGCTCTCATTTATTTGCGTATAAATTTGCTTCTCAAACTATATAGACGATGAACTCATTGCACCAGAAAGTTTCCATATCTCGAATGGTAAAGATTTTACTCTCAACTCCAGTCATAAAACATCTGTGATTCATCCCTTAGTTGGGGTAGTCCTTCAGTAAAATTCCGTATCCCTCAAGCAGAGATGGGCCACCGGCAACAACCGTGATCTGGTCATTGGTTCCGACAACAACACCATAGAGGTACCGATCTCCGTTCTCGTTGATCCAGAAGGGACCTCCAGACTGTCCACCTTGAGCATCGGCATCAGTCACAACAGGAGAACCTCTGTCACACAGAGTCGCGGAAGAAGCTGTAATAGCCTCTTGACGGTAAGGCTGTTGTCCGCCCTTGTCGCCAGGGTATCCGTAGTGGAAGAACATGGCGCGGTTGAGCTGAGTGTCAGGGTTCACCGTCTTCAACCCAAGCCAACCGTTGGTGGATCCAGCCTTCTCGCCGAGGACGAAGATGGCCCAGTCGTAGGCGTTGGCGCACCAGCCTTCCTGACCGTAGTCGGGGCGGAAGACGCGGATCACGTCGTAGCCGCCGAGGGCCTCGCCATTGTCGTATGCGGGCTGGAAGCGGGCGGTTGCACCATTCTCTGGGATGCAGTGGCGCGCTGTGACAACGTGGCGGGAACCTATCAAGGCACCGCTGCAGATTGCACCGTTGGAGAGTGCGATTCTGCCCATGGCCCGGTAAGGGTAGTCCTTGTTAGTCCAGAGGACGCGGTTGTCGACACCCCCGATGATACCGCGCTTAGAGGGTTGAGAAGATCCGGGATTTGAGGGGGGGAAGTCCGTGAAGTTCGCATCCTGGCCGGTAAGGCTAAGAGTGATGACCTCGGGGACAACTCCTGCGACCTTGCGCTCCTTTAGCGAGGAGACAATGGTAGGGTCGAATCCGATGGGCTTGATCAAGGTTGATGGATCTGGCAGTTTTGCACCTTCCACCGTGGGAGCAGCGAAGGCGCACGATCCAAATGAGAGAGCCGCTGTGGCTGCAAAAGAAACAAAGCGAACCATTGTGATATGAGGTCTTGAGAATAACCGGTTGATAGTGATCGGGATGTGAGACTGGGATGAGCTGATTCTGGACTCAATGATGTCTGCGAGCAAGACAGACTTTATACTGCTGTATAGTAAGCTAAATGTCAACTTCTCATCACATCAATAATACTGCATGTGAGATAATCTCGACCTGGTCATGACCCAAAGCTGGGGATGTTCACTAGAATCATTGCTGCCTGGGAATGCATGCTACGTTGACTTGGACCCCATCAACCAAGCTCTATACGATGTTGCTACGCAGTCAGACTGAGCTGGGGAAGATGGCCCCCATCGTCGGACTGAATAGCGAGCATAAGCGCCTGGAACGTTCGTTCGGAAACTAAGGAACGGGTAAGATCCTAAGTCTACGCTATGAGGACGAGCGGCTATTCAGACTTCTGCCCTGTCGATCCAACTACAAGGTTCAGAACCATCAGCCGACGACCAGAGACCTTTGCAAAGGACCGCTTGGCGCATCCAAAGGAAGATGAGAAATGGCACGGTCTTCAGGGGATGTTTAGACAGTCCTGCAGCGCTGATAGGTGAGATCGCGTTGATCCCTGTCTGTTTATTTAGGTTGCGAGATTGAGCTGAGGCGGATGCTACCCGCCGTGGAAGCAGTCAGACGAACTCCGCAGAATCCTTCAGGGCCATGTTAAGTTGAAGCCTATTCGAGGATGCGGGTTGTGGAAACAGCACAACCGGATGAACGGTAGGGTGCATTTACGGTTGTCGGTATCTTTTTCAGTATTACTAATTACCGCACTTTCGCATAATATCCACATTGAACAGTCCTCTCTTGATCTTCACTTTCTGACCAAAGGCTTCAACTTGGTCGCTAACCGCAAAAGACCATGTATTTCCAGTCATCTCAACTCTCCAAGCACCCGAACTCCGTTGGACATCCAAGGCAACATTCGCCGTTGACAATTCTAAGCACATGAGATGATGCACATTTGAGTTTCTGGTTAGTGAGACGAGAATGCAGCTTGATGAACTTTACCTTTTCCGTGATTGTCAGCCCGACCTCTGGGTAGTGATCCCACGGGGTGGAGCTGTGCAAGTAAGCAGAGCGTAACATCGACTGAGAGGAATTGAGTGCCAAGCTTCACAAAAAGCATTCACCAGTCACGGTAGAATCAATCGAATCACGCAACATCCTAGATTCCTCATTCTCACGCGGAGTATTTCTCTGTGCCTCAGTCGTCAAAAGTTAGTGTGGCTGTGTGCATGTTCGAAGCCCAAAAATACACTGGCAATCTTGAACAGTTTGTGAGTTACCTTCTGTGGGGCCGCCGATGCAGGTGAGCCTCCTTCGTGGGCAGGGTAACTTCGCTCAAAGTGTCTACTACTCAACTTCTCAAGACGTCTTAGCTCATGGTAAAAGCAAATAGCTGGCACGATTTTGGGACCGGCTTATTCATCGTTTACTTTCAATCAAGAAAAGCCATGCGCAACTCTTCTGAAGCCCATCTTCTGTGAAGCACTGGAGCATAGGACATTGGGATTATGGTCCACTTAGGGTAGGTAGACCGCAGAGCTAGTTTACAAATGGAGGCATACAATGACAACCATAGGGCCTTCGGCCGCAAACTCCTGCCCAGAGCTTCGGCCCGAACGACATCAGAGTAACCACGACTGGTAAGGAAAGTGATAGATCGTGTAATACACTCTACTCTCAAGATCCGTACTCGGCGGAAACCAGCAAAGTAAACGTCATACAATCAACGGTCGACACAGATGATAGTGTACGGCGGACAGTGGATCCCGAAAACACGGCTGCAACACTCGCACAGGACTCGATCTCGGATCTGTCGTCCAGAGAAATCAGACGGAGCAGCTTCACAGACTCCTCAGTATCTTGTCGCCAACCTCCCCTCTACCTATCCAGGCACCGTTTGGAGGCAAAACAAGGTCCGTCGTGTAGCCGCGCAATCGAGCTCCATGGCACAACCCAGATTGAGAAGTTTGCGCGCGCGTGGAAAGAGCCATTCCAAGTGCCTACGTGATGTGCAGCGGCGTCACAGACCCAATGAATGTATTTTTCAACTTTTGAGACGGTCGAGCTATGGTGGTAGGAGGCACGACACGCCGCCGTATTGGAAGGTTTGTGGCGATGTGCTGTAATGTCTTAAATGTTGTCAGGTTCGGTGGTCCATCAACGGTCAACCGTCCCGACTGCATTATGGGTCCGGCGTCTTCAGAAATGTTACCAGGTGAAAGATTAGAAGATGGGGATCATAAGAATTGCTGTTTCGAGCAAAATGCAAAAGGTTTGGGCCCTAACCAGGATTCGAACCTGGGACCTCTCCCAGACGTGTCGCGAAGACCCTAAGGGAGAATCATACCGCTAGACCATCAGGGCGGTGGACCAGATCTTGGATCTGATTCGTGACTTCTCGGCTCAATTTGGGACTTATAGATGGTCATAGCCTCTCAGAGAGATGAGTTTCCATTACATCTGGTACAAGAGGCCTTTGGCTTGAATGACAAGAGCTTGCGTGGCAATCATAGCAGACGGCAATTCTTAGTTGACTAAGAGGTGTGAGATTTCGCATCGATAAAGACACGTCGTCTATTACATCAGTGCATCTCTTTGGCCACAAGACATTTCCCCCAGTGCAAGTATCATCCATTCTCCTGAGAGGTTGTTCATGGCATCAAGTCTAAGTGAATAGACAAGGTCTTGTTGAAATTTCAGTCCTGTGCATTACAAGGTGTACTGGAAGTCTGGCCTCTTGTCACCGAGCGCCTCAATCTCCTTCTCAGATTTATTCTCAACCCAGTGATCTCTTTTCCCCTGCCTCCTCTTCTTATTCTCGATCCTGAGCAAAGTCGTCATGAGCGCACTGCCGCCACACAAGAAAATGGACATGTACGCCAACACAACGCCATGGCCCTCTGGGAACCGCGGGCCGTGGAAGTAAATGTTGGAGCTGACGATACCATTCAAGTTTCCCCATCCAATCACAAAGCCCAGTACCACGCCGCGCTTGTAGACGCCCTCATTGTTGTTGGCGACCCAGGTGATGGTGTTGGCGATGCATGGGTAGATGCCGAGAGCTCCGAGAAAGGTGCCTGCGTATTTGACTTGGGCGCTCTCGGTAGCGATGAGCATACAGAAGCCTACCATGCCGATGAGGCTGACTCCAATGTTGCATAGACCACGCTGTTTCGTCCTGTCCGCCACATATCCGATAAAGATGGTGAAAATCGCCGCCGCAGCATAAGGCGGGACCGTCATCAGCTGCGATCGTACGATACTCGTATTCCACCCAAGTTCGTTGACGATGGTGGGCAAGAACAGACTAAAGGCGTAAAGCGGCATGTCGCAGCCCATGTAGATGACCATGCCCAGCCACATCTTCCAGTCTTTGACAGCCTGCCAGAAGAACGTCATCTTGAACTCCTCGTGGTTGGCAGAGGCCTGCTGGTCCATCTTTAGACGTCGGATGACGCGGGCCCGATCGTCGTCGGAGAGGAACTTAGCCTCGTCGGGGAAGTCGTGGACCATCCAGAAGGAGGCGACGCCGAAGACCACGGTGAGGAGGCCTTCGAGGATAAAGATCCATGCCCAGCCCGGGCGGCCGCCGACGCCGGCCATTTGCTCGATGCCTGCTGCGAGGGCGCCACCGAATGAGCCCGAGATGGCTGCAGCTGAGAAGAAGACGGCCTGGACAGGTTAGCTTGGAGGGACGTCTAGTTGAGCTG